CAAGAATGCCCCCAGGACGGCCCAGGATAAAGGCATGAGCGCTCAAAATGCCCCCAGAGCGCCCCAAGAAGCCTCCAGCAGAACCTCCAAGATGGCCTCCAGAAGCCACAATGCCTGATTCCCCCTCAGGTGTTCACAGGTGTTGGTGTTCTCGCTGCTTCGGGCCCTAGAACGTCCAACACGGCCCAAAAGGCCCCGAGATCGCCCAACGACGGCCCGAGAGTCTCTCTGGAGGGCCCCACGATGGCCTCAAGACAAACCAAGAGATTCCCAAGGGTGCCCCTCGAGATGGCGAAGAGGGGTCCCCGAACTCACACTTCTCGAAACCTTTTGCACAATATAACTTCATACGGCCACCAGGCCCCCAGGAAGCCTCCAGGAGGCCTGAGCCCCCCAAGAGGCCCCCGAAAGTCCCCAAGCGGAGGCCCCGAAGAGACATCCGGGAGGCCCCCGAGGGGCAGCCCAAAACACCGAGAGACATTCATTCACGACGCCTCTGACCCACGACCCGGTCTCGGTGGCGGGATGGGCCGAACGCACTGGATCCGCCGTCCTGTTCTGCTTGCAGAGGGGAGCACGGCGTGCGGAACTCGAGACTAGCACTTTTGGGCCCTTCCGAAACGATCCCAGTGGGGTCTCGACACAACCCGCTGGCCACCTGGGAGAGAGGGTTTCCCATGGCCGCTCGCCCTAAGGCCGTCGCCGCAAGGTGCCCCCAAGAAGGCCGAGATGGCCTCCAAGACAGTCCAAGATGGTATCCAAGCAAGCCAAGATGGCTCCGAGATTGCCCAAGGCGGACCAGTGGTGCTCAAAGACGGCCCACGATGGCCTCGAGGCGGCACAAGCGGCCCCCTAAGACGTCCTGGGAAGGCTCCAAGAGGCCCCCCCTAGGAACGCTCGACGATGCCAACATCATTGATGTCCATACCGCTTCTGAACGGGTTTCGCGCAAAAGACTTCCCACGAGGACGAAAGTATAAGCTCCAAGACGGCGCAAGAAGCCCCCAAGAAGCCTCCAGCAGAACCTCCAAGATGGCCTCCAGAAGCCACAATGTTTGAGTCCCCCTCAGGTGTTCACAGATGTTGGTGTTCTCGCTGCTTCGGGCCGCAGAACGTCCAATACGGCCCAAGAGGCCCCGAGATCGCCCAACGACGGCCCGATGAAGCCCCCAAGACAGGCCAAGATGGGCCCATGAAGCCCCAAGACAGGCCAAGATGGGCACACGACAGCCCGAGGCGCCCCCAGGACGGCCACAAGAGGGCCCAGAGACCCCCACGAGACGGCCATCGACGGCGGCCGCACGAGTTACCGCCTCCTCCGTCCACTCCCGCCGCTGCCGCAGATCGCCGCGACCACACGGTGTGCGCAGCGCGCGGCGAGGGCGCTCCACAGCCGACGCGGGGTGCGGAGAGTTGCCTGGCGACTGGTTCGTGCTCGGAGCGGTTCATTACAGTGATGGGTAAGGAACCCTTGGGTAAGGAGTCCAGGTTCTGGAGGCCGGAGGAACTCCAATCGAGGCTTGGCCATGGATATCACCGCCGCCCTCGTCAGATAAGGAATCCTCCAGGGTCTGGCGCCTCCCGGGCGCATTCCTTAACCAACGCCCCCACCATAGCAGGCAGCAGCCCCGCGGGTGTGGCGGGAAGCGGGGAAGCGCCTCGTGGAAGCTGCCCGGTGCGGCGAGCGGCGCCCCTCGCACGCTGCCGCCCGGGCCAGTCTCCTGCGGGCCGCGCGCGCGGAGGTGCTTGCCTCTGCCGCCGAGTGCAGAGGCCACCTGTGCTGCACCGTGGGATGTCTCTCTCGCTGCTCCATGCTTCGACCGGGGTCCTCCGGGGGCAGGGCCCAGGGGCTCCAGAACTTCAGCCTGCATACCACGAGCTTCCCACACCACCTCCTCCTCCTCCTCCTCCTCCTCTTCCTCCTCCTCCTCCTCCTCCTCCTCCTCCTCCTCCTCCTCCTCCTCCTCCTCCTCCTCCTCATCATCATCATCATCATCATCATCATCATCATCATCATCCTCCATCTCCTCCTCCTCCTCCTTCACATCTGGTCGCAATGTTGACGGTTGCAAGGCCAAGGACGAGCGCGAACAAGGAAGAGACGAGCGGAAGACAGAAGACCGTCCTTCAAGAACACGAGACCCTCCGCCGGCAGAAGCGCCCCAAACCGAAAGAACCTCGATCTGATACTTCGGTCCGTCGTATGGTGGAAGGGAGCGAAAGACGACGACGACGACGAAGACGGCGATCTTGCTGGATACGGAGCGCTGGAAACTGCCTCTGATGAAGGACCGACTGCTGAGCGGCGGCGGCCTCTCCCGGCCACCCCGGACAGCTCGTGGTCTGTAAGTAACAAAGCGCAGCAATCCCAAACCGAGTTTAGAAACGTCTCAAAGAACACTGTCCAAGCGTGCTTCGATATTTCAATCGTGCTGGCTGCCCGTGTCCCCAGTGTGACTCTGCTGTTGCAGCCGCCGCGTCGTCTGCCTGCTGCTCTTGTCCCTGCTCCGCCTCGTGTCTCCACGCTCTGCCCTGAGGCCTCCTTGCGTGAGAACCTGATGACTATGCCTTGAAATCTCGAGGTGCCTGGTGGGACGCGCCACGGTCTCGCTTGTCCAGGTCGCGCCCCCCAACAGATCGCTGGCCGGAGCGGGGTGCTGCCCCGAGTCCGCGACCATCGGCTCTACGAGAGCGAGGCCATCGATGGGCGGCGCGCCCGGGGAGGAGGTGAGAATGAGAAGCCCTTCTCAGAAGGCTCATCAGCTCCCGGGCTTTCTGAGAAATTTCCCAAGACTTCCCCGAATACACGAAAGAACCTCTCAGGAGGCAGGAGGGCTTCTGAGAAGTCCCGCCGCCCTCTGAGAAGGCCTGCTCCTTCGCACTTCCCCCCCTCGCTAGCCGCCGAACCGAGCAGATCGAGTCCTCGAAGAAGGAGATGCGGACGTCGCCCTGCACGACAACGCAGCTCAGGGGCACGACCACCGCCTGGGACCCCGGACCACGCGAGAGAGGGCTGGCACCCCAGTTTGAGCAACGAGAGAGGAGGAGGAGGAGGAGGAGGAGGAGGAGGAGGAGGAGGAGGAGGAGGAGGAGGAAGAAAGGCGGGAGGCTGCCTGGAAGCGAGTGGCAGGGCCGCGGAGGCACGTCCAGGGAGGTCACGACGTCGAAGGGCTGGGCAAATCTGTTCGGAATCGGCTCCTGAGCCCCTCTCGGTGCCCGTCTCGACCACCAACAGGTTCCTGGTCCTCCTCCTCCTCCTCCTCCTCCTGCTCCTGCTCCTGCTCCTGCTCCTCCTGCTCCTCTCCTCCTCCCCCTCCTCCTCCCCCCTCCTCCTCCTCCTCCTCCTCCTCCTCCTCCTCTCCTCCTCCTCCTCCTCCCCCTCCTCCTCCTCCTCCCCCTCAAGAGGCGCACTGCCCGCCCGGCGAGGGCACCGGGGGCGCGGACGTGGCCCAGCTCGAGTCAGAGCTCGGCCGGCAGCGCGCCACGGCCGCAGACCTGTGGCAGGAGCGCCCAGATCCCGCCCTGTCACGGCGTGCGGAGCTACACTGTCAATGTGCTGCTGCTCGCAGCGCACAACGCCAAGAGGCGGCGGAGAGCTCGAGAGATCCACCTGCCAAGAGCGTCCACCTCGACCACCAGTAGGTCGAGCTGCCTCCTCCAGCCGTGGCCACGAGAGCAATCCAGGAGCCGAAACGAAATCCGAAGGCTCGTCAAACTCCTCCCTCGAACTCCAGCGCGATGCGGATTGCACCGCCTCGTGCTGCGGTGAACCCTTGCAGGCTGCACGACACATGCAGGGGCGCTTCCAAACGCGCCAGCCTGCGGACCACGGCTGCTCCCACCGGAGCTGGTGCGAGGACGTCCAGGTATCGAGCCGGCCAGAGACGGGATGCACAGATACAGTCAGCGTGCAATGTTATGCCTCTCTTTTGGAGGCCTCCTGGATGGGGTTCGAGTAGGTGGGGCCAGAAGATTGCATCGAATCGCCGACGTATCGCCGATGCATTGGCGATGCGTCGGCGATGCACTGGCGACGTCGGCGACGCATCGTTGACGCTGGCGTGGAGAAAGTCGGGCTCCGCATCGTGCCGCACCGCCGATGCATCGGCGGTGCGGCGCGATTCTCCGACCCCATCTGCTCCGACCCCATCTGGGAGGCGTCGAGATGACGAGGGAGGGGAGGAGAACTACGTCACAGAGACATGCTAGGTTCAGTCAATGGGCCCCAGAGGCCAAAACTTTTCCACCGAAAGGACACCGTCGGGAACCCCACCCTTGAGACCCCAGACCCGACGCACATGAGACCTACAGCCCTGAGAAGCGACATGCCACTCCACGAGGCATGAGAGGGAAGATGCGCCGCCTGCAGCCACCGTCACGGAAGCCAAACGACATTCCAAGCAAACGCCCGTATCAGATACAAGGATTTTGATGTCTACTGGACGTCCCAAGACGTCTATCATGTTGGCTCAACCATGAGCCTCTACATCCTACATTTACAAGTGCTACATCTCTGGCTACCGGCACGGGCCGCCGTAGATCCTGCTCCTCACCCGCAGCCGCTTTGGCTCAAGCCGCCGCGTGGGGGGACTCGCCCCCCGACTCCAGAGACGAGCGGCCCGGGGCGGGCGACGGGCGGGCGCCGCCCGAAGGTCCGACCGGTCCGCACCGCGACCGGCGCGCGCGGGGGCCGTGGAGGGGCTCCCTGGCAGGGGGCGGCCTGGTGGGGCTGCGGACCCAGACGGATTCACGCCTGGGGTCCCTCCATTGGTGGAGGGGGCGAACTGGAAGCGCAAAACCAGCTGCGGCAATACTTCCATCTGGGGCCCGCCCAGGGGGGGCGGACAGGAAGTGATGAACCAGAAAAGGGGCCCCTCACCCTTTGGGAGGGGACCCAAGTTGGAGTGCCAGAAACAGTCGGGATGGGGGTATTTTTGTCTGCAGAGGTACCGAACCACACCGCCCAGAATTATGATCCCTAATGCGAGGACGGGGACCTCAGTGAGGCCACGTCGTCATCACGTTATTAGGGCTAGGGGTTCTGTTGCTCTCGATGACAGACGTGCTCGCGGCGTGGCAATAAACGTCGGCTACAAGCAAGAGTGAGCGACGAAACAGAAGCGGATCTTACGCTACAGCCAACCCGTATCGTAAGGATTCGCGGTAAGGATGCGAGGGCCCTGGAGGCCCGTGTGAACGTTTCTCGAGCGAGGTTGGCCAGCGAGAGTCGCTGAGGATGGGTGGCATGGGCAAGGATGTAAGGGTACCCTTGAGAAGGCTGCCCATCCTTACTGTGCGGATCGACTGTAGACGACAAAGCGACTTTAAGCCGCCACTTACGCGGGCCGCCAGTGCGGCACGCCACATTTGAAGCGAGGGCGCTCACGCGCGAACTTACGCGGGCAGCTTACGCGCCAGTGTCGGCGCAGACGACCCTGCTTTTTGGCGCTGCTTAGAGAATGGTCGAGCATGTCCCCCTACAGGGGGCTTTTGGACGAAAAATGCAAAAATACTCAAAACATACCCCCACATGGTCAAACATAGTTTTGGAAAAATCGTTCCCAGACTATTTTTTACTATTTTTGAATAGTCCCCCTGTAAAGGGACAGGCCGGACTTAAGCTCAGAGTGACCCTGGGCAAGGAGTGGCCCGTGGTGCACGACTTTTTCGGGGAGCGTGGGAGGGCGGAGGCCGAGCAGGGAGGCCGCTGCCATCGCACTTTCTTCAGCCGCATGGTGACCCTAAGTGTGTTAGGAGGCAACTACTGGGAAGTTTTCGTCGGAAAACTTAACAACGAATAAGCACAATTGGTGGGCTGTTACGCCAAATTGGACCTCGGATGAAGCGGGATTAAGCCGGATTAAGCGGGATGCAGCCAGATTTCGGACCAAGGCAAAATCAGAATTTGACCCCCCAGGAGTTGCATCCAAAAGTGGGCCCGCACCAGAAGGTCACTCCGGCGAACGTTCACTCTTACGCGTGGCCGACAAAACCACGAATGGCAGCCATGGTCTGGGCCTCCCAAGTGGAATCGGAGCAGATGGGGTCGGAAGATCGCGCCGCATCGCCGATGCATCGAGGGTGCGGCTCGATGCGGCGCCCGATCACCGCCGATGCACAAACGATGCGGCGAGATCCCCCGAACCCCTCTGCCTCGACCCCCTCTGGGACGCCTCTGTACGCCGAGAGCTCTCTGGGGGGCCACGGGTCGTCCCGCATGGCCGCCGGAGGCCCGAGCCATGTCCCGAAAAGCAGAAAATCATCGAAGAGTCGGGCCCCCAAACGACATTGTGAGACCACACCGCGTGGTGAGGCAGTGAGGATTCAGATTTACCGCGCGGTTTTGGGACTCGGGTCGTTCTCCGAAGACGTCTCGGGCGACGGGGGCCGCCGAGGTCCCGAGACCGTGCGGGATGAGGACGGCACGACCCTCCCCGATCCCCATCCAGGACCCCCTCTCCTGAGCTGGTGATCCAGGGGCCGTGGGCTGGGGGTGGGGGTGGTTTTGTTGAGATTCTTGGGGGTCAGAAGACCACCCTCACCCCCAGCCTGGATCCCTGAATCACTAGGTCGGGAAATGTGTCCTGGCTGGGGCTGGGGGTGGGGGGCTGCCGACGCCGTGATCTGGGCCCCGACCAGCGATGTGGAGACGGACGGCTGGAGGAAAAAGTTTTGCAACGACAACGCCAAGAGTAGGAATAACGAAACTGCCCCCCCCCTCCCCCCTCCTCCTCCTCCTCCTCCTCCTCCTCCTCCTCCTCCCTCCCTCCCTCCTCCTCCTCCTCCTCCTCCTCCTCCTCCTCCTCCCTCCCTCCTCCTCCTCCTCCTCCTCCTCCTCCTCCTCTCCCTCCTCCTCCTCCCTCCCTCCCTCCCTCCCTCCCTCCCTCCTTCCCTCCCTCCCTCCCTCCCCGCCCTTTAGGCCGGGTCGGGCTGGGTCGGGATCGGCTGGGCCGGGCCAGGCCGGGCCCTCTCCATCTCGTCCCTCTCCCTCCTCTCTGCCCTCCCTACCTCCTCCCCCGCTCCTTTGCGGCGGGTCCGTGCCGACGCGTTGTGGCAAGGCGATCGAGGTTGAGCGTCTCTTTTGCGGTTCTGTCTGGTGTCTGCAGCCGGTGCCGCGTCATTTTGGCTGGGACCTGCTGTTCGAAGGAGTGGTCCTGGAGGGGGATCGGACGGCCCCGAGAGGACGGGCATGCGCGTGGTGGATGGGGCCCAGGGTCGACTCAGCACACCGTCCCTTGCCGCTCATCCTGACCGCTCTCAGGAAGCCACCGGCCCTCGTCCCATGGGTTTATCTGAGCCGCTGAGGGGCGAGGGGCAAGCTCTCGACGGCGTGCTGGCTCCGTCCCCCCCCCTCTGTTCTGTCCTCCTTCCCCTCCCTCCTCTCTCGTCTTCCGCAGCTGTTGGTTCCAGGGAACCCGCCAGTACAGTCAACCCGCATAATGGGGATGGGCAGCCTTCTCAGGGCACCCTTGCTTCCTTGCCCCTTCGGTGGGATCTTTGCCGCGCTCCTTGGCCGTGCTCCGCTCGGGAGCTTCGTTTCTTTGTCCCTGGCCCTTGCGTTCTTATCGCGCATCCTTACTGCACGGATTGACTGTAGCAAGGCCCCCCGCCCACTGCCTACACTACCCACGCCATCTGGAAGCGGCATGGAAGGGCCTCCTGCCAAGCGGACCAAGTCCACGGAGCAGGAGGTTGGCTCCTCGGTGGAGGTGCAGCAGGATGTAGTCCTAAAGTTCTGGATGGCGCACAGGCCCAGTATGCGTGCCAGTCTGGGGGCAGCGGCGGCTTTTGAGTACAAGCACAACCCTGGTGGTCCCTGCAAGAAAACAATTTACGAGAGGTCCGTGAAGCACCAATGGAACCTCATGGAGCCGGCCCAACAGTCGTCCTGGAGGGCCGCGGCGGCAGCAGGCGGCCCACCCCCGGGTCAGGTTGCCCTCGCTTTCTTGGCCACGCAGAGTGACTCGCCCCCGGAATCTTCGGCC